ATTCAAAATGGGGAACATAGAAAAAGACTGAGAGCCAAACAAGTATGAATAGCTAAAATGAGGCTGGCTCACTTGGAAATACCCTGTAAAGCATCAGCAGCTGAAACTTACCAAATAAATGTATATCAAATTTAAACTTCAGAAAACAACTCTTAAAATCTTTATAAGAAATATATAGAATATGGAAATGGCAACAGGTCAAAGGTCGCAGTTAATCAATATATATCCCCCGTGTGTATAGGGTATCGTCTTAGAGTGAGTTGAGCCGCCTAGTTGACCTGTTTTGCCTTTGTTTAAGCGCTGACTAAAGTCAAAAGCAGCAGGACCCGCCTCCAACCCTCTCCCCTGCTCCTTTGCACATGTGCTAGCTGCTCTAATGAATGCATTCATAAGGCAGACTCCTTACCATATACCAAGGTTTCTTCCTCTTGCTGTCCTTTATGCACCCACTGTGTGTGTGTGTGTGTGTTGTTTTTGTATTTCTGTCAACTTTTGTCGATTTTTTAACCCTCTTAAGTGCTTAACAAGTCCCAAATTAAAAAGTCGCAGCGTCTCCCGAGATTATGGCCAGCGAAAAGGGAAAATGAAATTAAAAATGTTTATAAATGCGGTGCTGGTCAATGGTAATTTTTAATTGTTGACGTTTACCTCTGCCAAAAGCGCTCTGTATCTTTTGCCTCTTCTTCTTATTTTGAGTTTAATTAAAATAAAGAATCTGTAGCGTGGAAATAAATTAAAAACGGAGAAAAAACCTGTCTGTCCAGTCGTCAAATCGCGCATTCGGCAAACCTCGAACTTCCACTCGGATATTGCCAAGGATTTTCCCAGGAGCCAATGGCGAGTGGCCAGTGGCTCGCAGAAAGTTTTCCTGCAGCAGAAGCAGCAGCTGGAAAATGTCAGAAATGCAGAAATGTAATGAAAAAGTTTTCAGCTTGGGCTTCTATGCAGATATCCACGGGGTTCACGGCAAGGTTGCGCTAATTGGCAACTATGTCAGTGACTGTTTCTCCCACCGCCAGGGGGCGCTGTTTATTTAGCACAAGCTCATCGCCTGACTCGGCAACTTTGGGTGTGCTGGTGACATCACAAGCTCCTCCTCGAATGCCACACACGAGCATTCTTGACTCTCCGCAAAAATTTATCAACTCGCGGGCATAAACAATAATAATTTGCCAGCATTTGTTGTAGCGGCTCGCGCGTTTCTCTGTAATTTCCGCAATTAAAAAAACATTTACTCGCATTTGATGTGTGCTTTTTAGTTTTTTTTTGTAAACCTCGGTGTTTGTTTTTTTTCGGACTTGCTTTTTACTTTTTGCCAAGTGCATTCGCATTTTTTATCAACTACCGCCGCATGACATGCAAGTTTGTCAAGCAACAACAAACGACCACCGACGACGACAACTTTGAAGGTTTCACCGGGACGTTCAGTTAAAGGTTATTTTGATAATTTTTTCTTAACTCTTATAAAAATGCAAGAGGCATATGCAATAAATTAGCTCTTTAGTGGCTCGTTGCAAAGAGCGTTTGATGATTAGAGCGGGGCATCAGGGAATGAGGGCATGTAGGATCGGAGGCAATAATCTTTCAGCCCAAATAGTGTCTTCCTCATTATTCAATAGATCATACATACATAATGAAAATTAAATGCTAAAAGCCTAGTTAGAGAATCACCGAAAAAACTGGCTAAAGTAAAAAGCAGTTTGGCATATATCTTACTAAGTAGTAAGAACTAACGAATAATTGCTAAGAACTGACTTTTCTTCAAATTAAGTTTGTTGGATGCCAAGATTTGAATCTTGCTTAATTAAAAGATACATCAAAACACCAAAACCTAATTTAGATGGATTCATATTTTTTAATTATCTGTTTCAATTGCTGGTAAAAATTCATTTATGGCAAAAACATGCTCATTGAACTCATTTATCCAACAAATTCGCACTGTTTTAGCCTATTTCCTTTTTTTTATTTAAATGCAAACAAAAGCTTTCGATTAAACAATTTACACCCCTTTCTACACAAAGTAGATTCTAACTTTTATATTGTTTTATTTTATTTTTTTGCTTTTAGATAATAATAATTTGTTTGAGACTTCAACGAATTTCATAAAATGTTGTAGTAATTATTTTAATGATTTCCTTTAAACGCTGCGCCGCGCAATCGCTCACACACACACACATGCACACACTCGCACACACAATAATAGTAATGTAATTGTGTACACATGAGGGATCGGAGAGGGAGAGGGAGAAAAAATGGAATAAAATCCATTATGGAGCAAGAAGTAAAATGGTTAAAATGGTGGCCTAATCGCAATTTAATTACAATACGCTTTCATATCAAAAAGCATTAATGCCAGCCAGCCAGCCGACCAACTGGCTGCCCGGTAGTTCGACTGGCCAGCGACTGGTTAGGTGTGCGGGGCGTGGCACGTGAGTTGCGCCACATTCGGCGCCTTGGCCGCAGTCGGAGCTGGAGTCGAGTGCGTATCGCTACTCCTTTTCATATTAATTGTTTCACCTTTATTATATTTCTCGTAGTTGATACGCAGACCGCCCCTCATGCCCCTTTATTGCCTGTTCCTCCATCAAGTGCTGCTTCAAAGCGCCATTAATGCGTTTATAATAATTTTTCAGTACTCAATTTTCGGCTCAGTGTAAAGTGGGCGCCGCACACTATCGAACAAAAACGAGACGAAAATGAAATGAAAAAAAAAATAAAATGTTGCTTTCTTGGCTTTTGAGTGATGGCCGCATGAAATGTGCAAAGGCATCATTAAAAACTAATTTCAGGCAGCCAAGAGGTGAGCGCGCCCGCTCTTAAATTGCCAGCGACCAAACGATATGCCCCCAGCTACCCCCGAGCCCCGCTCACCAATCACCTGCCTCCTTCTCCTACTCTAACCGTTGAAAGTCCTCATCGAGTTGTGAGCCATGAAGGTGTTTTTATCAATTAAAATAATCATTTATTTGCGTTTCATGAGATGGGGGTACGCTGGGTCCTTGGAACCAGGCCTGGGTCTTGGTCTGGGTCTGCCGTGGGGTCTGCTATGGGTTCTGGGCCGTGTGCTGCTAATTAGCTCAGGTTTTTGCATTGCTTCCGTTGGGAGAATTAGTCTTGCGAATGAGAACCTAACATCAAGAGAACTCTACAACTCTTATACAATTAATATGTAATATTTCTAGCTCATTGTGATGGGAACATATGGAAAATCTATATGGGCTTTGATATCTTTGTTAATAATATAGTTTTTCTAAATATGTTCATACGGATTTTCACTTAAAGAAACCACAGATAACTATTTTATGCCTTTATGCATAAAATTAGCTGCTTCCGAAACTAAGCCATATAAGCAAAAGTTGTTCCTCTTGATAGAGGAAAGAACATCTAAGTCAGTTTCTCTTCTTGACCACAATCTTTTGAACTCCTTAAATCCTCATCTAATACGTGGCTCAACTCATTCCCTAAGTATGAACTTCATGCGGCTGCCGATACTGAGGCTTACGAGCAGGCAGAGTCTGGCTAAGAGAAGGGTAAAAAACACGCACGCTTTTTACCACAAATCTCTCAAGTTTTTTATGTTTTTTCCTTTTTTGTTATTTTTTTTTTGCTGCTGCGGCGACTCGTCTAACTGATGATGATTAAATGCGAACGCCTTGGGTTATAGACATGGCATCAGTCGTGTCATTTAAAAGAAGGTAGCTGCATGGACCCTCCCCCTCCGCAGCAGCTGGGGCAGCCCGCGGCCGCCATGGATCTACCCCCCTCGTGCTATGAATCGGATTCGCGCGCATTAATGGCCGCCGCACAAAAAGAGCTTATGATGTAATGACCTCCAGCAAGAGAGATCTAAAACAAAAAACAAAAAAGAAGAAGCATTGAACGAGCGAGTTGAGCAAGACAAATGCTGAAGAGGTTATTAAAAAATAGTTAAGCATGTTGAAAAGAGTCCGGCCGCGACGCCCCCGTTTGTTTGTGTAATGTGCTGCGAGTGTTCTTCAGGTGATTTTCAACTTCCCAGCCATTTTCATTTCCATTGCTATTTCCGCTGACCCTCTCGAGGGTGTAGCTGGCGACATTTCCAAGCGCCAGCTCGGACAACGGACCCACCCAAAGCTCTCACGCTAGCTGACCATTTGCGGGAGGAGTGCGGGCTCAAAGGAGGGCAATTGACAATCATATTAGTTGGTATTATATTTGACATATTTTGTTTTCATGCTTTGCTTTCGTTTTCGGTTTTTTGTGTTTTGTTTTTCTGCTGGTTTTTTGTCATTACCAAAATTATAATTATAGTAAGTGTCATTAGGCGCTGAACTCATTTTTGGGGCGCAGTAATTATTCCAAATTATTTTACAGTTACTCGACCAAGCGGCTCCACTCAGTGGCAGCGGCGGCTACCGTCGAGTGCTTTGCACTGACTCCGCCTCATGATACCCACAGACCTCTTGGTAATTAGTTAAGCTCCCCCTAGGTATAGGACTGCCCCTGGCCCTCTTTCCAGCCCCATAACAGAAACTGCGCTGTCTGTTTGTCCATGAAATCTCTCCAGCCTTAATCCAAAAGAGATGCCGCAGCGCAGCTCGTACCCCTTCGCTGTCCCCTATCGGTGCCTCATGCGGCCCGACCTGGGTCTGTAAGGTTTTTGACAAGTACAAATATCTGAATTCGGTAAGGTCGTCTTTTAATCAGCCTCGGTCTACGCTGCGTGCGTCTCGCTTCATGTGGTATTCAGACACTGCTCAGGGGCCTGAGATTGCGTTTGGGTCTAGAACAAAGCCCGCAGATACGGCCGCAGCTACAGATACATTTACGGATACAGATGTAGATACAAATGTTGATATGTGGCTGCATTTCAGATCACTTTTGAAGATGTTGTTGTTGTTGTTTGCATTATAGTTGTTGTTGTTGTTGGCATTTGTATTATTGTTCACTATGCGTTGATTTTAATTGTGAACTTTTCTCTTTTCTATTTCTATTTCTTTTGATCATCTTGAAACCAACAGAGCGCAAACGTGGCCGCCAGACCTATACACGCTACCAGACGCTGGAACTGGAGAAGGAGTTCCATTTCAATCGCTACTTGACACGCCGGCGACGCATCGAAATCGCGCACGCGCTCTGCCTGACCGAGCGTCAGATCAAGATCTGGTTCCAGAATCGACGCATGAAGTGGAAGAAGGAGAACAAGACGAAGGGCGAGCCCGGCTCCGGCGGCGAGGGCGACGAGATAACACCACCCAACAGTCCCCAGTAGGAGGAGCATTGGCCAGTGCGGGAGGGTGATTATGGTTATGGGGGGAGTAGTCCAAGTCCAAGTCCAAGTCCAAGTCGGAGTCCAAGTCCAAGGCCAAGTAGCGAAGCCAGCGCAAAACTAAATGAAATTTCAAGCTAAATACAATTTACAATTTATGAAAAATTTGTTTTGAACTATCCAAGAGGACGAAATATCTACTGTGTTGCAAAAGTACATAAAAAGAAAGTACACTACACAACACTAAACACTACAACTTAGTTAATTGTTATTATTTTCTTATTATTATTTAATTTTTACAAAATGCAAATGGAGAAAGCGTAATAAGTTAAATAAAAATACAATTAAAGCGTAAAACTCAACAAAACCAACTCATGTGACCTCAGAATTAAATAAGCTATATATATATAGTATATATATATACATAAATATATTATATAAATATATTAAACTAATGCATAACAACTATAATAGTAATAATAACAATAACATAATAATAACTAATAACTATATATGAAACATATATACGAGTAAATACTACATACACAATAACATTAGTTCTACGCGTCCTAACTGTAAAGCATACTTTATAAATAATATATACGATTAATTTATATAGTGTAATACTGTATACACCACATAAACCTATATATACTATAACAACTAAACTAAATTGAATGTTTGTAGGAATTTTAGCGCAAAATAAACTCACAACAGAAACAACAACAACAAAACCAATTGCTAAACTGCAATGCAATATGCCGAATAGTGTGTTTTATGTAGATAGAGCCGAAAGATACGACCACTATATAGAATACAAACAGATAACAGAGAACAAAGAGAACATGCATGCAGTTAAGAGCAGACTAGAAACCTAAACCTAAACTAACAATAAGTGCTAAATGTCGCAGGCTTAGACAAAGAGATACCAAAATACCGTGGAGCATGCTGCTAAATCTAAACAAATAATACAAATATAGGATTAACCAAAAGCAAAATGAACAATATTGGCAAAGTTCAAAAATAAATAACTAAAGGTCGAGAAATGTTTCGGCTAGCCGAATTTACATGGTCTTTCCTGGCTAAAAAAAATATTTTGATACACGTGGAAATATTGTGTGTAACTTCTCGATGTTTTGTTCAAATACGTGAATAATTTCGTGTGCAATTTTTATTTGTTTATATATACATTATTTTTCAATTGAAATTTTGTAATTTTAAAAGGAAAGTTTAAATTACGAAAATTGCAAGCACTTGAATTAGGTCGTAAAGGATATAAAGTATACCGACAAACCAATTGGCAACATTTTATGAAAGAAAAAACATAACAAAAGAAAATTATATATTGTTAAAGAAATGTACACGTTGCTTTCAAAATACTTAAATGTAAACAAAACAATTGAAACAATCCATGTAAAGTAGAAAAATATAAAAAAAAAAGGAAAGTAAAAATAAATTCACTATGCATATATTCAAAATGCATTTCTGAATGCAGGCGGCGCTGGGGCCGCCTACTATTATACCTATAACAACTATATTGAATGTATGTACGTAACTCAACTCAATTTCTACGTTTTTTCAAACACAAACACACACGAGCATGCTGAAAAACGAGAAATGTAGAAATCCATATACCAAAGTTATAAAGAAAATGTAAAACTAAATGATAAAAAAATATAAATAAAAGAGCATCATACTATGTTTATATGTAGATATATATATGTATTTAAACCAACGTAATATTATGCGTGTAACTTGTAGACGAAGTTTCGTTTTGTAAATTTCCCCCTCCCCCCTGAATTCAACTGTAGCAAGGCAATAGCAACAGAAATATACTACGAAATACTACCCAATAGTGACAACATTTGTGATTCCATTAAAAAGCGCAAAGAGAAATGTAGGGCAGACCAACAGCCAAGTGTGGTATTCAAAAAGATTGCACCATAGATTGGCGAGCGAAAATATAACTCAATCCAGATACGTAACTTTCGGCCTCATTCTGTAAGAAACTAAGCAATTAAGTTTCACAAAATAAAATAAAAATCCATCAAAAAAAATATGAAACAAAATTTATTGTAGAAATTCACGAAAAACAAAATTCATATACGTATACATATATATTCAAATAAAAAATATATATATGTATGTACTTAGAAGAGAAAAACGCACTCACGTACATTTCACGGCGAAATTTTTGAATGCAAAATTAAATGAAATGAAAAATGGAAAAATGCTAAATAATGTGTTGTAAATAAACCCTAAAATTAGTGTAAACAAGATGAGAGAAGAGCTGCAAAATGCAAATGCTAAAAACAAAAACTAAAAAAAAAAAGAAACAGAAACAGAAACCAGCAGAAAATGCATAAAATTATAATAAAATTACAAATGAGATTTTGTTTTTATTTGTAATATTTATAATAAAATATAGTATTTAAAAATTTAAGCAACGCTTGTATTTTTTATTTTTGTGGGGGAGCCTACATGATTTTTCTGCTTATATCCATAAATTATAGTTGGAACAAACTCTGGTGCCTATCACTTTTCGCAAAAGGTGCGTATTTTAATAAAACTTATTGTCTGAAGTTAACCTGACTTAATATTGCAGATTTCCATTCGAACTGCCTGCTTAGACTGTGACCACTCTATTTTCTTTAATCTGGTACGTATTTATATAGATATTTGATAAAACCAATTATTTAATTTGAATCTATTTTGCAGCCGTCTATTCCAATAGTTTTTTTGAGGCCGTTTGTGCTGAAGAGAATTCCGTGTCAGAGGTAAGCAAAAGTTGTTGCTTGTCGGATTCATGTGAATAACATGTTTGTCTTTTTTGGACGCTTTGCAGAGACCACAAAACGTGCCATTTGGAAAACGATCTTATTAATCTGACATCATAATAAGCCATTAATCAAGTGGCATTAACAAAACACTGACCAATGGCCACCTGAAACTGAGGCCAGACCCAGACACGACGCTCGGATCAACATTCGCCAGCAGCGATTGCGAATGCCACTGCGACTGCGACTGCGTCTGGAGCACATGAGACCATTGCCAACACACTTGGAGTTGGAGCTGAAGTTGGAGCTGGAGGCGGAGGCGTACTCGATCTCTGGCAGCAGCTTAAACAAATTGAATTCGCATTGTTCACATAATCGCTGGCCATTTGTAAACGGCGTACAGAATGTGCTCACGTTTATGTCACAAAATCAAATTAATAATTTGTGCGGCATTTTTCTCTGAATTGAGACGGCAAGCAAACTGTTCTCAACAAAACTGAACGTCTGGCACTTGCAGCAGGCGCGAGAAAAGGCCTCGAGCACATAAATCGTTTTTCCGCAAATGCTTAGAAATGTCAACATTTGATTGCACCACTTGCCCCACTCCCTCTCCCCACACACCAGCCTGCTGACTGGTTGCGCCTTAATGGCTGCTTGAAGTACATTTCACATGTATCCCAGCATTATGGCGCTGCACGTATTCCGTACTATTTAGAGATCCACTCGAAATAGTTCTTGAGCAGCTGCCAATTTCTCTCCGACCTCCACCAGTTCGGCAGCCAACGCGGATGCGTTCCCTACATCCATTCCCTTTCCTGGGGCGGGTGCTAGATTTTCTGCAAGAGCGCATCAAGTTTGAGATCTTATTTGTTTTTCGGTCTGTTGAAATTAATTAAAAACGTTCTTGTTTGCCCAAATGAAGCACCTCAAATATAATTTTAATTGAATTCGTTACCTAGGCCAAGCAGATTTCATCTTTTGGGTGTGATGTTCAGTTTTTATGCTATATTACTCAGATATATATAAGCATCTAAGAGATAATATTTATCTAATTTCACTAATTGACTGCAAATCGTCCAAAATATGAATATGATGTGACCTCATCTCAAGCCAAATAAGTATTCAAAACTTTAGAAGCAACACTGTTTTTGTATACATTCTTACTGAAATTCGTTAATCAAGAATATATTTTTTTAATATTATATATATAAGTACATTAAATAAAAATTGAGTTAGGCATTTTTCCAACTCAATTTAAAATTCTTTTGTAGTCTAGTTTTTATTTTATATTCCAACCCAGACTCATCAGAAACCTATATCGTACTTTAACAAATATCTCTTAACGTATATTTAAATATTAAATATCACCTAAAATTATGTAAATGTAATGTAAATTTTATATATTGAAGCTATAATTTCTATCCACCTCTATATATGTACATTAATAGTTCAGCTTAACATCAAATATTCAGGACAATCATTTTCTAGCTCAAAAATAAGAAATCTATTCTATAATTTTGTAATGTACAAATAGTATTTTGATTTTTAGTCATATTTAATATTTAAAACTCTGAAACGACTTCAACCAAATTTTTGCAAGCTTCAAATTATTAAACATTGAACTATTATTATTAAGGTAATATATAGATTTAGTAATTGTTTAATTGTGGCATTTGTTGAAAAATCCCTTAAAAAATGTATATTATTGTGAGAATATGTGCTTTTTAATCTTTTAATTGATTTGAATTATTTTTATTTTCTTACTGATAATATGATTATAAATATACTGTAGAAATATTGAAAATAATATAAAATGTAACAGAAATGAGCATGAGAAGCTCAACCAAGCCATATACCATCATATCAATATCCGTAAACGAGAAATAATGAATATTCGAAAGACCGTCGCCATATGGTATTAAGCAATTGGAGAAAAGTCGGGCGACTCATACGTCTATTGCTGCTCAATAAAATGACTTATCAAGAACTTATCCTCAAAGGAAGGATATAAGCATGTGTATAAATGTAATACACGAAAGTTCGGCGCCATTATTGATGGACCAGATCCTCTCTTCGGGTTGCATATATTGGAGTTCTACGCCAGTTGGAGACTGACACACGGAAAGAATCATTAATAATGAGTTCTATGGAATTGAGACAGCACTCGGCGAAACGTGAATAGATCATTAATAACGTACAAATTGAAATAGGCAGAAACATGAACGCCATAACGAAAAACAAAACAAGATGTCAGAAATCCACTCGAGGTACTCGTAATGATGAGGCTTAGACAAGTGCACGCTCATCTCGATGCCTCACTTCCCTCTGTCGCTGCCGGTTCACACAATCCATCAATCGATCGACGATCCATCAAGGTGATATTGAGGCTGGTTACCCGCTGGCCCCCTGGCGCAGCAAAGGCAAATGATAAATTTAAAATGGCCAAGACATAAATCATTGAATACGATAATTAGCAGATGCAGACGAAAAACAAAAAAAACAAATATAAATACATAAAAACACCGAAAAATAA